AGCCTTATTTATAGAAGAATAAGCTGGCGAAGGGAGAGATAGATATATTGGTACGTTAACGCACGCCCTCATCGTACCAACCTGCATCAGGTGTGCAAACTACTTTAACTCTTTAACCGCAAACGATTCTGGTACACCGCACGTGCCGTTCAGGTTCGGCCAGGGCTAAGTAACAAGTGCAGCCCGTTGACGTCGAAACACGACCCTCAAGCTTTCTGCCATGTTTACGCACGGCTGTAAACTTGCATGCATGGTGTGGCTCGTGATCCCAGGACACCTTGTCGGGAGGTGCTCTCTTTTTCTTTGCCATGCAAGCTAGTGCTCACTAACATTACGACAGCCGATAAAAAATGTGCTTTTGCTACACGCTGCAGTATGCACGGGGTGATTTATCAGCATGCAGCATTAACATAGCAACATCCACCCCTTTCTCCTCATGCCCCATTTATTCCTAAGTCATAACATGGTCTCGTTTATCTTGGTCTAGCTGTTCTCGACAGCGCCAAACTCGAGATAAGCACTGCCCTGGCGGGGTGCCGCCAGGGCGCCCGCTCAAACCACGGGGCGGCGTCTCTATGCAGGAAGAGCCCCAATAGCTGAGGTCTCCCTGACGCCCACAGTCTTCGTAACGGAGGTATCCTTGATGTCGACAGTCTTGCAGCGAGGGTCTCCATGACGTCCACAGTCTTGGTACCGAAGGTCTCTCTGATGACCTCAGTCCTGGAAGTGAAGGTCTCCCTGACGCCACAGTCTTGAAGCGGGGGTCTCCATGACGTACACAGTCTTGGTAGCGAAGGTCCCTCTGACACCCACGGTGTTGGTAGCGGAGGATCTCTGATGTCCCCAGTCCCTGGTGCCCGATCACTCATCTCTTCATCGTCCAGTGACTCTGAAATAAGAAATGCTGGTCGAAGGGCCCTTCTCCACACCAAACGAATTGCCGTGTAATGTGTGCTGAATACTATGCAGCTGCGTAATATCTACCTCCTTCTGGCGATAGTCAGAAGAGGTGAATATTGCGTTTTCTCAACCATACAAGTCCTGCAGAATGCGCATTTTGGGGGTAGAATTGGTATCAGCATTACTTCGTCAAACACTATTTTAGCAAACATCGTTAAAACATACATAATCATGCCATCAAACACATCGCACAACAAATACATATATCATACATCGTCAAAGCATGCATAATCATGCCATTTATCATATCACACATCATCACACATCATCATATACTTCAACGGTGAAGTTACATCTCATTGCGGGGAATTTCCTTCGATATTGCCGGATTTGTACCCATCCCTTATCAATCTGAACCTGATTTTTCATCCGCTTTTGGCCACTTAAGCCCAAGCACCCGAATTTAACATTAAGAGACTTAAAATGCATGTCGATGATTCCAGGATTGTTTTGCCGTTGAGGAATCACTTTCCATTTCAAGGAGATGTAAAACTGCGTTTTGTGGGGCTTAGAATTGGGTGTTTTTGAACGAAAAACATGTCAATAATTGGATCCCATATGGTCAACGAAAATACGTGTCGTTCGTCTTTCATCGAACGTGGCCTGAGGCACAATAAGGTAGCTTTATTCAAAGTTATGTGGTTGGACACACACTGAAGAGAGCTTAGGTAAATTTTCCAGTAGACACACTGCCACAATTTACCTGCATGTAAAAGCGTAAATGCATTTGTGTGACCCTCCCAACGGACATCTCGATAATGGGAGTTCACGGTTGAGCACAGGTCTTCAGCAAAAAAACGTCTTAAAAAATGTGACCAACGCTTTGGCACATGTTGAGAGATGACGCATATTATCTTGCTTATATAAGCAACAAAGGCATTGAATAATAGCGTTTCGAGGTAATGATGGGAGTCTTCATGCTAAGCATAATCGGCTTTCAGTATCCCAGGAAGTAAGACGACGCAACACAGTAAGCATTGGTTCCTTGACAAAACTCAACGTTTGGGAGGTTTGCTGTGCTGTGATTTTTTCCCAAACGTCGATCAACAAAACTCCAATATTTCTATCACTCTGGACCAACCTGCACATTGTGTGTTGATGTGATTCGCTCGACACCTTTTTTGTGGCACATCCAACGGAAGATATACCGTTGGACTGTCCTTTAAATCATCCCGTCCTGCAATGTACCACCCGCTTTCCCATCCTGTTTTGGTCCGTCCCGACATCTCAGCTGGTTAGAACGCTTGCCTTCCAATTCTCAGATGCATTGATCACCACTCATCATGTCTTTCATTCTCAGTTGCTTTCGGCGTCCGTTATTTCTTCCAGGCTGGGACATCCTGCGGCCGGTAGCAGCGGCCACGCTAACGGCCAGTAGACGTCAGAGGGCAGGATGAGCTGTACCGAGCGCTGCGGCACGTTAAGCTTCCGCCGCAAGCTCTGCCGTTGACCTGGAATTGGACGATCAAGTCAGAGCTCACTGAGCAAGCATTGCTTAGCGATGACGCTCACCAAAGAATTACATCCAATCAACAGGTTTGGGACGAATCCGTACAAACAGGTCATGATCGTCCCAATCATACCTCATTTCAATTCCTCACAGTGGCTACCAAAAAATCAGCCCTTCCATCAATGTGTAGAGCGGTGTGTGCATCCTCTCACCTCCAGTCGTGTGATCGTAGGCGTACTAACGTATCCCTTCTTTTGGGCGAGAGCGAACACACGGGACACTAAGTCAGTTCTTACGATCGTGCCGCAAGTCCTCGGTGTAACGATGCGTCAGGTTCCCAAAAAAGGAATAGAGAGATGAAATAAACAGACTGTGTCTATGCCATACTGCCGTTTGTACAAACGTGATAAAAAACAATGGTATCCAACAATTATCTCACATTCGTCATTCATGGCTTTATAAAAGATGCTACTTTGAGGACAAAAACGAATGTCTGGTCGACACCACCGCACACCGCTTCACCATTACCGTTCTGATACTCTTCTGGGCGGCCCTGGGACTACTTCACGGGACCGATCGGGACAAAGAGGGGCTGCGCTCGCCCGATCTGTCGCCCCTGGAGTTCACCCTGTGGGTAACTCCAAGAGCCACGTCCACGTGGACCAGCCATCGAACTTTTTGGTATAGCTGAACTAAAAAGCTCAGGGCCACCTTCAAAGTTGAGATGAGGCGCACCAACGTGAACAATTACCGAACAATCTACCACCCACACCAGGTTCAGCTGCTCCGCATCCTGGACCACCAGACGACCGTGTGGAGCACCCTTTTTATGACGATTTCGCGGGTGTGAAATCACGGATGACTTCCGCTATCGCTGATCCTATCTTTGTCATTTAGTTGGCAGCTAAATACCACGACTGGGCGACAGCGGCACTTCCCACTGTTGAGGAAAACATGGTTAAGTTTTATCTGGGCCATCCTGTCTTCAAAGCACTGCCGCATATTGCAGTCATTTGTTATTTATCCAAATCCAGGTGTTATCATGAGACAAGCTTGTCAAACAGACTTGCATCAAGGAGTTGACGTGACGAAAAATCAGGCACCTACAGGATAATGCTGTGTATAAAATGTTCGTGTGACTAGGGGTGATATGTTTGGGTACCCAGCATACCAATAGCAAAGCTAATTTGTTTGCATTTCTTTGACCCAGTATCCCCTTTGCGCTCATACCTACTGGGGGCTCAAGGAAGCATTTGCGAGTGGATTGCGAGCTCAAATCGGCATTGACTGGCACAGGCCTCCCGAAAGTGTGTAAAAAAACGCCCCTGGAACTATCTCACGTCGAAAAAGGATGGCAGAAGGTGGACAAGGCAAGGATCACAATGTGGCGAGAAGCATGCGTTGAGCGTTTTGAATCGTGCCATCATAAGCGTCCGAGATTCCCGAAAGTAACTGTTTGGCCGCCAGTACCCGTGGTGTACGATTGCATCGTGCGATGAAGATCCAGTCACATGGCTTTTGCAGTATACGGATAGAACCAAACAGTCCTTATAGTGTGGAACGAGTTATGTTCTTGAAATTGTTATTTCCAGGAATTATATTTCTGGACATTGTCATTTCCAGCCGTTGAGTTACACTAAATAAAGCGCATTTTGAGGCTTATCAAGAGCAGTGCCTTTCAATTGCTGGTAGATCCTTGCGGAACACGTATTCTTCAGCATATCGTTTAGTCATGGACTACTTTGCTGTCGCCTGAGGAGAAATCCATCCAACTAATTCTTCCCTATCCAGCAAAGCGTTTGCACTTGCGCCGAGACATGTATCGAACAGTTGATGTCTCGGAGAGCTGCCCACTTGATGATGATTTGGCATTCTTGAAGGTCTTCCGGATGACTGTGGGAGGTTTAGTGGTAGGCAGCTCCTCCTATCCCTCTAGATGACGTGCATGCCCACGCCCATCAATAAAGGCCTTCAGCTCTCATCTGCAGCCCTTCATGAGCATAATGTGTACTCTGGCTTTGGATTTTCGCAGGCTGTGGCAGCTGCAGGTATTTGCTGCCCGTGCTGAGGGGGGGGGGGCAAGGCTGCGGCACTTTTTGTAGACATGGTTTTTGCGGAAGTCAAAATTATATCGCCATGACTTCGACATGTATTTCCAGCACACATATCGTTACATCGAATGATCGGGATGAGCACAAAACAAATATGAGATGGTGACTGAACCGTACAACACAGTACAGCAATGTATAACAACTCAGGATTTGTACATGCCGGTAACGCTAATGTACAATGACACTTCCTAACAAGCATTTGAACACAAGCATTGGTAAAACATCATCGTTATGCCCCTATATCTAGCAGTTTGACTTTAATCTCCTAACGCAAGCCTGCGCGCAAACTATTCTCTTGCGCTTGCTCTCATCATTGATCAGACACAAAAAACAGCAGATACAGCGCCAGCCTGTTATCCGTGCATTAGAATCGACACACACACACACAAACATGATATGCCTCCGGCGGCCGAGCTTATGTAATCGGACGGTAAGAGCAGGGCGCAGCAACAGCCGATGCTGATGTGCCGGGCGCAGCATCAGCCGACGCTAATGTGCTGGGTCACCACGCGGCCGTGGGTGGGCTGCACCGGCCGGCAGTTGTGCACCAGCCGGCCATCACTATCATCGTTCTCGTGCAGCTTGCGCAGGCTCTTCAGAAACTTGTCTCGCACGGGGAACACGGTGGAAGCCACCATCCAGGTAACCACAGGATTGCAGGGCGGGGTGGTCAGGCTGCCGTGGTAACTGTAGAACCGCAGCACGGCACGACGCAGCAGCCAAGAGAAATCCCGCAGGTCCGCTTCCACCTTCAATTTCTTGCCAGGCGTCAGAACGTCCCCCAGCCGGTCCTCCATGCCGACTGTCGGGAACAGAAACTGCTGTTTGTCCTCGGAGCCGCGCAGCATCGTGCCCACCACCAGCAAACCATCAAAGTGGCGCACGGCCTCCTTGATGCTGGGGTAGCGGCTGTTGTAGAAGACGAAGTGGGCCTCGGCGTCCGTGTAGTTGCCGCCGATGGCGTGCTCCGAGCCGTGCAGCCCTGATCCGTCGGCCCAGTGAAAGTGCATCTGCGCGAAGGTATAGATGCCGATCATCGGCTTGCTGTAGGAAACGAGACGCAGCAGCGGCTTGTCCCGGTTCTTCGGGCGCAGCGTGAGCTTCAGCGCGCGGCCCGTGTTGACCGCCTCGATTTGGCCGTCGCTCAGCCCCTTCGCGAACTTCAGCTTGGGCGTCCTGCTGAGCGCGTACCGGGTGGGCGTGAGCGCGATCGGCGACTGCATCGGCCCACCGCACATCGGGAACACCTCCCGCCACCGAGCCGGCTCTGTGTAGTCGTACGCGCCCGGCAGCACATTCGGCGAGCTCTTCAGAAGCACCAGCAGGAGCCACCATGGCAAAATCATGTTGCGATAGCCTGCTGTGGCTGCGAGAGTGTCCACTGCGCACTGGACCAGCCCGTGCTCCCTAGCTAGCTGCACTGAAACAGTCTGACGGCCGCTCTCCCCTTTATGGACCGGCGGGTCGAGCCGTGACTCGCGACACGCAACGTCACGTGACAGGGCGCTACGGCGGCGCCGCAACTGGATCGGACGGGCAGAACATTGGCTGGAAGTTTTCCTGCCACTTGCTGTCTGGAGCTGTTGGCGACTCATCAACCACGTTGATGACAGGTCGAATGGCGCAGCGCAACGGGACTGTGACCTTCCCACGCTCCAAGCCTCCGTTACTCGGCGTCTTTTATCAGCTGATACGCGGAAATTCCCGGTGTCGCTTTCCATACGTTCATCACCTTCAGCATATGGGTCAATGCGTATTATCTACCACCACGTTTGGGCAAAAGGTGCAAAGGCATTTTTTACCTTCGTCAAACCCGGGGCTTCACCGGCCCCTCCGCCGACCAATGAACCGTGGCGACTATTTGAACAAGCAAATGCATTTAGCAGTATATTTATTTTGTCGTACTCATTTCCATCGTTAAAATTAAACCCTCCAGAGCCAAGCACATAGAGACATTGTAGAGGTCCCGTCATACCACAGCGCTGGTGCAATCCACGGTTGCGCGCGATCTAAAATCATTTGGGATGACTTTTGATATGCCATACCACGTCAACCAGGTAAATAAATAAACCCATCGTTATGCTTGTTCCAGAGCTACGTGATCTGATGTTGGACAATGGGTTACTGTTGGACATACGTCACTTTGAATCACAAAATACACCTAAAGCGTGTACAACGGACTTTCAACGGGCAAATGAGAGTTGGGTCTACTCTCCCATTGTGAAATCCTGTGTACACCCCTACCTGCACATGACGTCGCACCTCGGCCAATAAGGCTCGTTCACCGTGTGAGTGCACCGCTTGGGCGCGGCGGCGGTGTGACCATCCTACAAACGTCTGTGTTCGTGTCAAGCGGCTTAACATAACTATATGTTCGAACGCCGCGTTCGGACCTTGTGATCGGGACACCCCGTCGGCGGTATCTCGGCTTCTCATCTGGCGGTCAAAACGACATTTCCATTTTTTGCATAGTGGTGGAACAGCATCGTGCTTTGATCACATGCAATTTCAGGGCCCTACAAATTCCGCAATCTGTTGCAGCCATTAAACACTGCGCATTCTGGGTGGTCATCGGCACATCGGACCTTCGCCGTCGCCATGCGCCGTGGTCACCATCGCCCAAGGTATTTTGTTAAGCATGCCCAATCTTCAGCGTTTCTAAGCCTTGTTCTTGCGCACTGCTCAAGCGCGGCGGCAGTGTTGCCATCCTGGGCATGTCTATGCTCGTGTTGAGGGACTAAACACAACTTAATGTTCGAATGCCTAAATCCTTAAGTCAAATCCTAAACAAATCCTGAAGTTCGGTCCTAAATCTTTCTCTGCGCACTACAATAAAGCCGTCTTAATTCCGTCAACTGAGCAGACGGGCACGATAGGAAGTAGGTAAAGTATGCGGAGACCGTCAGAGCTCAGAAGCCCATCGAAAATCGTGTTCCATGTGGACTAGCTTAGGCATGGCGGTACTCACGCGCTGCGGACGTACACGTCGCACCCGACTACCTTAAAACTGTTGGCAAACATTCCCATTTTAGGTAAGTAGTTCTGCGCGATATACCAGCTCTAGAAAAACTGGGTTTAGTTCGATGGCAGTAACACGCTAAGCCGTGCTCTGCGTGACCTCTTTTGATAAAAGAATCGCAGGTGTCGTGAACACGGCACTTAGATGAATCGACATGACTTGAATCAACCCACAACTTTTGCGTGACACTTTCAATGCGTGTGAGAAGAGGAAAACTGCATTAGCTTTATGTCACCGCGGACGGTCGTAGTCATTTATTGTCCCGGTCGCAGAGCCAGTCGTCTTCATCATCATTGCACACGGACAGGCACCTTGATGTGTCCCTTATGCCGGCAACCGCTTATAAATCTAATATAATATAAAGCCTTTACAAGTTTGCCTTATCCGGTCTGAGGAATTGCACGGAAAATGAGGCCAGGTGCTCACCCAAACCGTGCTTTCCAGGAGGCCAAAATGCAAGTGTAGGGGGCCAAGCATTTTGTAGCGACAGAGTGACAGGGGCAGACTAGAAGAGCTTCGCCCAGATTCGGCGCCACGCATTTTGAGTTGGGATAGGATTCTCCATGGGGCCTCCTGGACAAAATGGGGCCTCCTTACACGGGGCTCTCCTGAATAGTGTCGTATTTAAACAAAAGGGCAACGAAGATTTGTGCGCTCCTCTCACATTGTTATGTGCACCATATCATCATCAAATACGAGGTAATCATCATATATCACGTATGAATATACACAATATGTATATATATATGCATATATATAATGTATATATATATATATATATATATATATATATACACATACACATATCTCTCTCCCTCTCTCTTTCTCTCTCTCTCTCTCTCTCTCTCTTCTCTCTCTCTCTCTCTCCTCTCTCTCTCTCTCTCTCTCTCTCTCTCTCTCTCTCTCTCTCTTCTCTCTCTCTCTCTCCCCCTCTCTCTCTATCTCTATCTCTCTCTCTCTCTCTCTCTCTCTCTCTCTCTCTCTCTCTCTCTCTCTCTTCTCTCTCTCTCTCTCTCTCTATATATATAATATATATATATATATATATATATATATATATATATATATATGTAAAGAGCAAGGAAACGGTACAAATTGAACAGGCCGAATTAGAAAAGTATCGCTCTTGCACTTGAATCGCTGGAGGAACAGGCAGAACATGTGACTGCGGGAGCACTCTACCGCACAGTGGTAGTCAATAGTAACGAGTCTTTAGATCCGCAAGATCTTAAGCTGGCCGAGAATCTGAGGTACAAGGCCAAAGAACGGAGCACAAACGATGCCTCTTCCACCATGAACTTCGGCTTTTCTTACGCAGATAGTTACCTGGAAATTCTGAAATAAAGCATTGTCAAAATTAAAGATTTTCGTGGGACTCGTTTTCTACGCGAAAGCCTTTCTCAGATAAACTAGTCACATTTCTTTACACCGATCAGCAGAAAGTCGGCGCGTCCAGGTTCTGTTGGGACCCAAACAGTGGTTTTATTTTAAGTGTCGACGCGACGTTTAACTTGGTTGGCTTTTGCGTCACCGTTTCCACGTGCGAAAACCTCAGCGTCAGCTCACATGCCACACCGAAGCACCCAACCTCGCCAGGTCCAATTATGGTCCATGTCAATAAAGATAAAGGCACGTATTTGGCCTTGGCTTGCAAACTGCGCCAGCTGGTAAATCATAAAAATCGTTGGCCTCCCGTGGTAGCGACGATGACGATGCTGTCCACAATGCACTTCCAGCATGTTTTCCTTACGCTGAAACATACCTCCACCGCATTCACTTTAGGCGCAACGTCGACGCTTAATGATATGGTCATTGCCACGTCTGAGCAGAACGTCATTTTAACAGATTTCCCCCCGAAAACCCCGTTTGGTTCATAGAACCGATACTGATTTACCCTCTCGGCACTTGTAAGTGTGCATGGCCGGGGGACTACCTGCAATGATCATTTTCGGCAGCTTGCTTCCCCACCGGGTTAACGCCTCCCACCATACATTAGGGATTGCATCGTATTTTCTGTTGCTACAAAACTTGTAAACTGTTTTACTCCCGTCATATTTTCGAGCTCCTATGGCCTATCGGAACTTTGGCTATTCGTAACCATGACGAGTAGGGGCGTATTTCCATCAGTTCAGGTGGTTCGGGTGGAGGCTGCTCAATGAGTTCGGGTGGAGGCTGCTCATTGAAAAATGACGCACGTCGCAACCTAGCCCCAAAATACGCCAACATGTGGGGTTCCTCAGTTTGAACCACTTCCGTTTCAAAGCTTGGTGCTGAGGCTCCCAGCCTAACTACATACGAAACTACACCCTTGCTGAACGGTGCTCTGCGTCGAAGAAGCTAGCAGTAGAGGAAAGGGCTGGAGGCTGCGATCTGCACGTGAAATGCAAAGCTAGCTAGCTGGCTGTGGCTCACTCAGATGGATTGATCTTCCCTGTCACTATCAAAATATTGCGACGGAAATACATACCAGCTATATCCACTTCCGATCCATACGTGTGACATTTCAGTGTATCTCTCTGGTGTCATCAATCGCGCGTAAGATTTAACACGTTTATTTCCATGCGAATCCGTCATTTAAAACATCACGATTCAGCAAATAAACCGCCAATTAGGCTTCGGCGCTGAAGCTACTGCAACGCTTTAGGAGACAAACAGAGGAAGTAGGGGATAGTCCGGGAGTTCATTATGCATCTAGGGTGCACAAAAAAAACTAGAAAAACGTCGTTCTTCCATCTCAGAACCCGAGCGATGCATAGCATCTCACTGTTCCGTCCCGTATGTCGTCCGTGCACTTCGCCCACGGTACGAACGAGTCAGGCCCGCCCGAATGGAGGATCTCGCGGGTCGTGAGCTGGAGTGATACCTGCCTAGATCTGCAGGAGAAAGTCAGCCAAGCCTCTGGTGTAGGCCCGGTACGTGCTCGATTTTTTTGCGGCCGAAAATGAGCCTCGGAGCATAGTGTGACACTTTTTGAATCCCGGACATATTGAGCTGCGAGACTGCCGCAAAACTAGCATGCAATAACGGGCCCGCGACGAAACCAAGGCGTCCACGAGGGTGGCCAGGGGACTGGAGGCAGGCTGTGCTTCAGATGTGGAAGACCAGTGAAGATACTGAAGCAGCGTTTACTGACATGTGAATTCTGACTGAGATTGTGCTCAAAGACATCCCGATATGTTTTGCTTCCATAAAGGGAACAAAAATGTGATGGCGGAATTTGGCGGTACAGTGGGGAACGGAGAGGAGATTTTGTGGGCTTCCAAGCGACGTCAGCCGTGTTCTATCGGCATTGACTCAGGCCACTGAATCTGAAACAATTGTCACGTG